GTGCTTAGTGACATGGTATTTTATTTTATTATTCATTTGAAAAATTATTTACAGAATCTTTATGAAACCATAAACGACTTTTTACATTTCCCACTCTTTGGGACCAACGCCTTTATCCACTCAAGGTCACATGACACAGTGGATAAAGGCGTTGGTTAGATCCAGTGACTAGACCCAAAGAGTGTGAGTTCAATACCCGGTTAAGCCGGTGGGGAACTTGGAGAGGGGAATTAACAGGAGATAACTGATAACTGACATCCATTAAACATGGCACGTGGAACTTAGAACAGTCTACACCAGTGAGCGAAACAAAGGGTTCAGTTCGACATTCCAACCACCTGAAGAAGGCCGGAGCGTACAACGGCCGAAACGTTGTAATAAATATGGCGACAAAGATGAGGACAATAGTCCGAATAATGTAAATAGTGTACATTTTCATACCGACAGACGTATTATACACTGTTTATTCATGGCAATACTCGAAAGTTGTATAGCATATTTTTGCATTGAGATGACAAAACGTATTTATTAGAGGAAGCATAATATGTCTTTTACTAAATCCGAAATCTGATCTCATAAGTTGAATTCGGTATTGAATAATTAAAGTGGGGATACATAATTCGTCCATAAATACCAACATCAATAATAGCAATAAATAAACTACACAAATTTGATAGAATTTTATCTAAAATAAATAAAATTAATTATCCAATCAATAAGCGTTTTAATAATATTACAGATATATTGTCTCTAATAATAATTCCATAATTAATAATATTACAGATATATTGTCACTATTCTGGCAGAAATACTTTCCATAATTATTGGAAACTGTTAACATATTTTTGTTATTTATGATGTATATCGGCAATTAAGTTATTAGCAATTTATTTCTACTACAATATCATGACAAAGCTTTTAAAATAATAGCCTTATATTTTTCAATAACGTTTGCTTTAATTTCTGGTCACAATAATTCCTTCTTGCTATATATGTAATCATAATAGAGAATTATCCTTCTTATATTATACAACCTTTAGAGTGAATAAAAGTTTAATGCTTTTATTTAATCCATCATTCCTTTTATATACGTAAGCATTAGAGAGAATGTGTTTCTTTAACAGGTCATTCCTTTTATTTGCAATCATTAGAGAGAAGGAGAGTTTAGAAGTGTTTCTTTAACAGGTCATTCCTTTTATTTGCAATCATTAGAGAGAAGGAGAGTTTAGAGGTGTTTCTTTAACAGGTCATTCCTTTTATATGAAATCATTAGAGAGAAGGAGAGTTTAGAGGTGTTTCTTTAACAGGTCATTCCTTTTTATTGAAATCTTTAAGTGTTTCTTTAACAGGTCATTCCTTTTATATGAAATCATTAGAGAAGGAGAGTTTAGAGGTGTTTCTTTAACAGGTCATTCCTTTTTATGAAATCATTTAGAAGGAGAGTTTAAGGGTGTTTCTTTAACAGGTCATTCCTTTTATATGAAATCATTAGAGAGAAGGAGAGTTTAGAAGTGTTTCTTTAACAGGTCATTCCTTTTATATGAAATCATTAGAGAGAAGCAGAGTTTAGAGGTGTTTCTTTAACAGGTCATTCCTTTAATAATGAGAAGACAATAAGAATTTTGAAGAATTATCAATACTACTTATAGATACAATCATTAAAGTTGATCGAGCGTGGAGGTATACCGGATCAAGCGGTAGTTTCAGGTACAAAGGTACGCAGGTTCGATCCCTGTCGGATACACATTTTCATGCCGATAGACGTATTACATACTGTTTAATAAATAAATAGAAATAGGAAGTTTATATAAAAAAAGTGATCTCCTCTATAAAAAAGTTTTATATACACATACAAACACACATATTTTTTTTTTATATATATATATATATATATATATATATATATATATATATATATATATAATATATATATATATATATATATATATATATATATATATATATATATATATATATATATATATATATATATATATATATATATATTATATTATTTTTATATATATATTGTGTGTATAGGCAGAAATCCCTCATTTATACATGTTTCGTTAAAGAAGGCGAGTACTGCGATTAGGCTTTTTATTTAATTTTTCTTGTGCTCGAACAGGTGTTTCCTTTTCTGGACATAGAGTGTGTAAAAACTTTCAAAATGTTCTCTAACATATATATATATAGAATGTGTGTGTGTATATAAATATATACACTCATATATATATTTGTATGTATATATATATAAATATATACATACATACAGACACAAACATATATATATATATATATATATATATATATATATATATATTATAACAGTTCACACTCCTAGTATGTATGTCTGTCTATCTATCTATCTATCTATATATATATATATATATATATATATATATATATATATATATATATATATATATAAACGTTTATAAGTTTATATTCATTTTCAGTTACCAATATTTTAACTTTCAAATCAAATGCACCCCGCCATTTTGTTTCATCGCTACCGATTGCAAATAAACTTCAGTGAAGCATACGGTTCATTGGTGCCAAATTTAGATTATGTCTTCCTATCCACGCACACTCGCCCATACACACATCTGCACTTTTTTTTGCTGTATGTGTGTGTCAATAGAGGAAACATTGACCAAACATTGTAGTCCATTGATTTTGCTCATGCAGATGGCGATTAAACAAAAGCCTAATTAGCCATCCTTTATTATATTTTATTTTCTTCTATAAAGTCAAACAAATCAGTTTTATAATTTATTAGCATAGTGCCTTGATACAATAACCCGAGGAAAGTAGCTAGTTCCTGCTACTCATAACATGATACAATTTCTGGGCAGAAATTGTAAGTCCTAATTTTCAATCTTTTATTTAACTCACTTCTGTTAGAATCCCAAATCGTGTGATTTTCGATGGCTTTGGTGGGTAACGAACAGAAACTAAATAAATACGATTCATTTAATTCTTTTTAACTCCATAGTTTTTTGTTTGTTTGTTGGAAATTGACTATGTTTTTTTTTCGCTTAATATTAAGTGTGACTGGAAAAATTTTATCAAATTTTAATTTTTTTTAATTCAAGATTTTGACAAAGGAATCAAGATAAGAATAAAAGTCTAAAATCGAAATTTTAAATTAAACTTTAAAAATCGAAATCTATAAAAAAAAAATCAAAAAAATCTATTTTCTTTTTTTTTTTTTTAAAGAGAGAAATTGAAGTAATTTTCAAACCAGTAATGTGTGAAATTAATCGCTGAAAGAAGTGAAAAAAAAGTAAAACAAACCTCAAATAACAGTGAAAGTTTAAATTTTAATTTAAAAGTTACATTACTCTTAGTGCAAAAAGCTGTTGTTGACAAACATGTCGGTCTTAGTTTAGTGAGTCCTATACAATTTGTTGACGCATCCAGATAGTCTTTGGTTTTTTCTTTTTCATAATATTATATGATTAGATATCGGCTGAGTGTGTGTTTGTACGCGGCCTATTTACTCAACTGTTTGCCTGTGTACATGACGACGTTATCTTGTTTGAGAAACCGGAAACTACGAAGAATATGTTGATGTGAAATCGTGTGTATGTGTAAAGAGTGTCTTGGAGGAAGTAACGGTGATGAGTTCACCATTGTTGCTGGTAGCCAGGGTTCAAATCTGGAAGAAGTTTTGGTTGCCGATTTTCATAGAAGGTATGCCATTCATCAAGTTTTCAAAGGATCAGGACAGATAATGCCCTCAACCAAAGACGATGCAACAATTTGATATTTAATTTGATATTTTTCTGAACTTCGAGTTATCCTTTGTGTTCTAAGTAAGTTGTTTTTTATGGACATTCAAATTCATCATTTTTCATTACGCGGCCTTATGGGTGATGGATTGTTTTCCACATTACAACCCCTTTCCCCACAGAGTAAATGTTGCAAGCCTCTCGCTATTCTGTCGCTATTTCTATGGAAAGTGTTCAAACTAACCCCATTCCTTAATTCCACCTGTTCTAAGACAAGAACCGTCATGCTACGCAGATTGTAACAAACCACAATATTTCCCATTGTACGATGTTGGGAAAAAGTAAGCTCTACCGGAACAGCCTCTTCCCCAAAACCGCTTGTTTCTGTAACCGACTCCGAAGAGGATGCTTCTCCAATCACTACAATCTTAACCTGTTAAAGTCTAGGGTTATCTCCACATAAACTCTGAACGTGCTAGAAATTAAAAAAAAATAGAAAAATAATTAAAAAAATATTTTGGTCTCCCCTCTTAATAATAAAGATTTGACGATAAAACTTTGTTTTTATCAAGTTTGTGACCTTTTTTTTCATGCTATGCTCTTTTTCGGCGAATTATTGGAGGTCACCACTTTACAGTGTGTTTAATTTAATTAGGAAAACTTACAAACAATACATTTAGGCTCCTCAGGAACTTTTGCACGAGAAGGAACTGAACACAGCGTTCCAACAGTTGCATCATATTTTTTAAATCAGGAATGTAAGATTTTTATTTTGGCATCGTATTGTTACAAGTGATGAAGAATAGGTTTTGCCTGTCAGCAGAAAAAGGGAAAAAAAGGGCAGGTTATGGCAAAATACGAAATCAGGGCCAACATTAAAACTAGAATTCCATTCACGCAAGTCTGTTTTGTGTGGGGGGGGGAATATGAAAAGTGTCGTCCACTACACTCTTCTGGACTGTGGAACGCCTGTCACTGTAGACTTTTGTCATCAACAATTTCATCGGGTAAAAAAAAAAAAATTTAACGAAAAAAAAGGCGCTAAATTTTTTGATACTAATCTTTGCGCCCCCCACCCCCGCTGACGCAAGAACAACAAGATTTTAAAGAAAGATTTCAAATAAAAATTCACTTGTCATTGATTTTTTTCTAAAGACATCTTTAAATCAAATTTCGAACGTGCTAGAAATGATAAAAAATAGAAAAATAATTAAAATATTTTGGTCTCCCCTCTTAATAATAACAAAGATTTGACAATAAAACTTAAACCGAAAGTCCACTGTTCTGGTAATCAGAAAAGGGCTTTATTATCCAGTCTGATAAAGTTTGGCATAATGGGATAGATAGATAGATAGATAGATAGATAGAAAGATAGATAGATGAATAGATAGATAGATAGATAGATAATGGACACAATGCGATAGATAGAGATAGATAGATAGATGGATAGATAGATAGATGAATGATAGATGAATAGATAATGGACACAATGCGATATGAATGAATAGATAGATAGATAGATGGATGAATATGATAGATGGACACAATGCGATAGATAGATAGATAGATAATGGACACAATGCGATAGATAGATAGATGGATGAATATGGAATGGATGATAATGGACACAATGCGATAGATAGATAGATAATGGACACAATGCGATAGATAGATAGATAGATAGATAGATGAATGATAGATATGGATAGATAGATAGATAATGGACACAATGCGATAGATAGATAGATAGATAGATGAATAATGGACACAATGCGATGAATAGATGGGATGAACAAAATGATAGATATTAACAGACATGAGAGAATGGATGAATAGATGGATAATGGACACAATGCGATAGATAGATAGATATTGATTGATAGATAGATAGATAGATAGATGGATGGACACAATGAACAGATAGATAGATAGATAGATAGATAGATGAACGATATATAATGTAATATATATATATAATGCGATAGATAGATGCGATAGATAGATAGATAGATAAAAATGATAGATAGATAATGGACACAATGCGATAGATAGATTTGGCAATGAAAGAACATGGCAAGTTAAAATGGGAGAGAAAAGCAGAGAAATAAATATAAAAGAAATATTAACAGACGAAGAGAATAAAAAAGAAAGAAACACTCATATAAGAACAATTATGATCAACCAAAGGCATACCTAAGCGTAGATGTGACACAAGGCCGAAATTAGGGGGCACCCAGTGAGGATCGAACTCACCACACAGTCGTAATTGTTCTAGCGAGACAAGCTTGCTAACATTACACCACCTCGAGGTGCCCCAGTCTAAATGCAGATACATAGATAGATCGATATGAACAGAATGAGATAGACAGCTAGAGATATGGAAAGATAGATATGTATGAACATATGAACATATGAATGTAGATAGATATATATGATATATATATATATATATATATATATATATATATATATATATATATAAAAAGATGATATGTAGATTGAAGATCCACACTTTTTGATGGGCGATAGATGGAACCACCTCTGAATTTCTTTGTTCCCAGGTCGAACCTGACCCGGGGGTGGTAGTACCTGTTAGGGCCTGATGAATAGAGCTATGGACAAATAGTGATCACTCAAGCAAAATTGAAACACTATGAAAGTATAAAAAATTAATTTTTATAGTAAAAATACCAACAATAGATTCTTATATATATATATATATATATATATATATATATATATATATATATATATATATATATATATATAGTAAAAAGATAACAAATTCATTTGTATGTAATCCAAGTGGATCTTCGTAATCTAAAATATGATAAAACTGATCCACAAAAAGATTTATGCTCATTGATGTATTTATTATTACAGAAACATATAATTATTAAACAACAAAATCCCAAATTACCTCCGTGATGAGGATAATTTTGATTTCATTGTTTATTGAATATATATATGGGATGGGAAATAGATGGGCTAGAAAAGATGGAGAATGAACAATCTTGCTGATTACGGACAGACCGATGAAGATAGATAGATAGATAGATAGATGGGATGAATGATGATGAATGAATAGATGATAGATAGATAGATGATAGATGAATATGGGATCTCAATATGATCTCAATGATGATCTCACTGATAGATAGATAGATAGAGATAGATAGATAGATAGATAGATAGATAGATAGATGAATGATAATGGGATCTCAATGATGATCACACTGATCAACTGATAGATAGATAGATAGATAGATGAATAGATAGATAGATGAATGATAGATAGATAGATGATAGATAGAATGATAGATGAATGATCTCAATGATGATCACACTGATAGATAGATAGATAGATAGATAGATAGATGATAGATAGATAGATAGATGATGGGATCTCAATGATGATAGATGATAGATAGATGAATGGATAGATAGATAGATAGATGAATGATGATCTCAATGATGATCACTGATGAATGAATAGATAGATAGATGGATAGATGATAGATATAGATAGATGGATAGATCAATGATAGATAGATGAATGGATGATAGATGGATAGATGATGGATCAATGGGATCTGATCACACTGATAGATAGATAGATGATGGAGATAGATAGATGAATGATGGATGATAGATAGATGGATGAATGAATATGATCTCAATGATGATCACACTGATGGATGGATAGAGATAGATAGATATGGGATCTCAATGATGATAGATGGATGGATGGAGATATGGATGGATGATGGATAGATGAATGGATGAATGTGATCTCAATGATGATCACACTGATGATAGATATGGATGGATGGATGGATGGATAGATAGATAGATAGATAGATAGATGATCACTGATGATAGATAGATATGATGGATGATAGATGATAGATGATGGGATCTCAATGATGATCACACTGATAGATAGATGGATGGATAGATGGATAGATGATGGATATGGATGGATAGATAGATCACTGATGGAGATAGATAGATGGATGATGATGGATGATAGATGATAGATAGATGGGATCTCAATGATGATCACACTGATGATAGATAGATAGATAGATAGATAGATAGATGAGATAGATAGATGGAGATGAAGATAGATGAATGGATGAATGGGATCTCAATGATGATCACACTGATAGATAGATAGATAGATAGATAGATGATAGAGATAGATAGATGGAGATAGATAATGGATATGGGATCTCTCAATGATGATCACACTGATAGATGGAGATAGATAGAGATATGGATATATGATCTCAATGATGATGATGGATGGAGATGGAGATGGAGATGGAGATAGATGGAGATATGGGATCTCAATGATGATCACACTGATAGATAGATAGATAGATAGATAGATAGATAGATAGATAGATAGATAGATAGATAGATATGATCTCAATGATGATCACACTGATAGATAGATAGATAGATAGATAGATAGATAGATAGATAGATAGATAGATAGATAGATAGATAGGATCTCAATGATGATAGATGGATGATGAATAGATCAGATGGAGATGAAGATAGATGGATGAAGATAGATAGATGAGATAGATATGATCTCTCAATGATGGGATCTCAATGATGATCACACTGATGGATGGATGGATGGATGGAGATGAGATAGATAGATAGATAGATAGATAGATAGATAGATAGATAGATGATCAGATGGGATCTCAATGATGATCACTGATAGATGAATGGATGAATAGATGGATGGATGGATCTGATAGATAGATGATGAATGGAGATAGATAGATGGAGATGGATAGAATGAATGGATGGATAGATGGGATCTCAATGATGGGACTGATGATAGATAGATAGATGGATGGATAGATAGATAGATAGATGATGGATGGATAGATGGAGATGGGATCTCAATGATGATCACACTGATAGATAGATGGAGATAGATAGATAGATAGATATGGATAGATAGATAGATGAAGATGAAGATATGATCTCAATGATGATCACACTGATAGATAGATAGATAGATAGATAGATGAATGATAGATAGATAGATAGATGAATGGGATCTCAATGATGATCACACTGATAGATAGATAGATAGATAGATAGATAGATAGATAGATAGATAGATAGATAGATAGGATCTCAATGATGATCACTCTGATAGATAGATAGATAGATAGATAGATAGATAGATAGATAGATAGGATCTCAATGATGATCACTCTGATAGATAGATAGATAGATAGATAGATAGATAGATAGATAGATAGATAGATAGATAGATAGATATGATCTCAATGATGATCACACTGATGGATGGATGGATGATGGAGATGGATGGATAGATATGGGATATGATACTGATAGATGGATGGATGGATGGATAGATGGATAGATAGATAGATAGATATGGGATCTCAATGATGATGGATGGACTGATAGATAGATAGATAGATGGGAGATAGATAGATAGATAGATAGATGGAGATAGATGGATGGATCTCAATGATGATCTGCCTGATAGAATGATAGATGATAGATAGAGATGAGATGAGATGAATGGGAATAGATGATGGATAGATAGATAGATAGATAGATGATAGATGAATGATGATCTCATCACTGATAGATGGAGATGATGGATAGATAGATAGATAGATAGATAGATGATAGATAGATGATGGATGATGAATGGATCTCAATGATGATCACTCTGATAGATAGATAGATAGATAGATAGATAGATGATAGATGAATGAGATATGATCTCAATGATGATCACTGATGGATAGATAGATAGATGATAGATAGATGAATGGATAGATAGATAGATGATAGATAGATGATAGATAGATGATGATAATGGATATGATCTCAATGATGATCACTGATAGATAGATAGATAGATAGATAGATAATGAATAGATGATAGATATGGGATAGATAGATAGAGATAGATAGATAGATAGATAGATAGATAGATGAATGATGATCTCAATGATGATCACACTGATAGATGAGATAGATAGATAGATAGATAGATAGATAGATAGGATCTCAATGATGATCTCTGATGATAGATAGATAGATAGATAGATAGATAGATAGATAGATAGATAGATAAGCAGATAGATATGATCACTCTGAGATAGATTAATTATCCGAATGAGTTTGATTCAAGTAAATCCCAAACAACTGTCTATACGTAATTAACTCATTCAATACTTTTATGTGTACGGTATAGGAAAAAAAAAAACCCTCAGAAAAAGCATTTGTGTTAGCGTGTGTGCGCGCGTATGTATGCTTGTTTACTTGCATGGTGGAATCTATCTTCAACGTTTGCTTTAGTTGTTTGGTGAGCTTTTCTAGTCTCTTAGTCAACAGACTCTTACACGCTAAACAATGTACCGAAAGAAATTATTCTGTTTTCGTATTTCTTTATCATAGTCACTTTCCTACCTTCTTCTCGCCGTCGACTGGTGATTCGAAAAGCTGACTGAGGCTCGTTTTAACAAACAGAACGACAATCCATTATTAATTCACCTCAGAAAATTAATAAACTTTCGAAGCCGTTGTAAGGTTTGTAATCACTGCGCAAAAAAAAAAAAAAAGAAAAAAAGAAAAGTGAAGCGTCTTCTAATAATATTACCATGTCCATTAGAAGCAGCGGACATTGATTTAAAAAAAAAAAAGAACTGGACAATTGATTTTTAAATCCATGTTCAAACTTTCATTAAAATTAAAAAAAAAAAATACTGCGTTTTTACGTAAGGATTGTTCTTTTTTATTTAACCTATTTAAAATGGCTGAATCCACAGTTAATCATTTTGGAAAAAAAAAAAAAAACAGCAACAAAAAAACCCTCCCAAAAAGAAGGAACTTTCGTACTAAGATATAAGTAAAAATTTTACTCATACTTTAAGAAATAAACAAATAAATTGTTGAGTTACATTTATAAGTATTACGACCAGGGCTGGTGTAACAGTTTCTTGTGTCCCCACCCAATCTAGGATACGCACCCCCTATTCTCTAAGACAACTCAATTTTTATAAGCTAGCAATCATATAAAATACAGAATTTATTATAACCTAATTATATACAATAATGGATCATTTGAGACTTAGAATGACATCAACATGGATGAAGAAAAAAAAAAAGACTCCATAAAAACGTCAAACTTCTTTGCATACTCTTTTGGGTGAAAAGAGATTTACAAATACATTATATTATTGCAAATATTCTTACTTAGCAGTTTCCAAAAAATGCTTGGGAAGTTTCCATGCTTATGGACAGGGCCGGTTCAAGGGTCACATGCCCCATCTCCCGAATCTATGATACGGGGCAGCCCACTCTACTACATCTGAATTTTCATAAGGTGGTATTCATATAAATTTACAAATTTCATTGTAACCTATTTATGTACAATGACGGATCATATGCAATATAAATGAACACTACCTTTCCCAAGGATATTAGCACGTAAGTGAATGTAATGGATTCGACTGGAATTCGAACTCGGCTTTCCGATTCTTCAATCCGAACGGCTAGATAGTATACAAATTCCATTGTAGCCTAATTATGTACAATAATGGATCATATGCAATGGAGATAAACAATTTAACTAGAAAAATAGAAAATAAATAGAATGTATCAAAATACAAATTAGAGACATGTTATAATAGATCATTCCATGCTTTGCAGCAATTTTTAATATCGATTTTTCTTGTTAAAAACTTGAATTTTAACACATTGAACATTATGGTTGGAAAATATTGAATTTTATATACAGTGTAACCCGGATATAAGAGACCCGGATATAAGAGAAACCCTGATATAAGAGAGATTTTCTCTGGTCCCAAAGTGTTCCCATACTTACCTAAACAAAATAGACCAAACCCGTATATAAGAGAAACCCGGATATAAGAGACTTCGTCTCCGGTCCCGACAACTCTCTTATATCCGGGTTACACTGTAGTATTTTTGTTTGAGACTTTGCAGTAGTAAAACATATTAACGGACTTGGACAAAAAAAAGTTAAAAAATGAAGTTAAAATCCGCGAAAATTGTTCATCGTTTAATAGTTATGCTTAGTTTAATTTGTAACATATATAAAAGTAGGTAGAAAAAAGAAAAAAGCAAATGATAAGATAGTATGGGTCATAAAACACTGCTCCGGACAATCAGGTTATGCACCCCCGGTAAGTGGGGGTGGGCTCGGAGGGCTCAAGAGTAGTGCAACCGCCCAATTTGGCGAAATTTAGTCATGAGAAAAACTTACTTTTTACCATCTCATTCGAAGTAGAACATTTTTTTACAATGATATTCACTCGGTACAAGGCCGAAGAGCCACTCGAGGTAGAGGGTTACATAAGAAAAAGGGCTTTAGAAAAAACCAGAAACCCAATCCTAAACAGGAAATAAGGAATAAACTACTTCTGCTCCTATTCAAAAGACAGAGGCGGAGTGTGAACCGGATGATAGGCAAACCTATCTGCTCCTATTGAGAAATATTAGAAGACCGTGAAAATTTGGGCTTACTACTGTACTGCTAAAAAAGGGTTTTAGCAAAAATCCGTATTACATCCTGTTCGCGCGCATTTCAAATTTCGGTTAGTTTGGATTAGCAAATCATACATGAATACAACCGCGATATTCCACAAATCGAAATTACTTTTCCACTGCTTCGAAAAAACTTCTTGCTCGTGGTTTCTACAGTGATTAATAAAGTGTACTGCTCCATAAGGATAGTAACAAAATTCCGTACTACATTTGGTTTTCTGTCATTGTTCGGAACTTCTGAGTATCATCTACGTATATATACCTATACGTAAGTTAAAACGTATATGTAACCCAAATGTAGTTTAGTATAGAAAATTGAATCCCCTCTCTTCTTTATATAATTTGCCTCTTCTCACGTACTTACAAACTGTCGTACAAAGTTTTTTTTATTTTAATCTCTAATTCCATTTAGAACATAAGCAGTCATAGATCACCACAAATTCCCATTTTCTTAAATACAAGAATTTTCATGATTTGGGGGAAAATTTAGTTAAGACGTTTCCCTTTACGTTTGCCACGGTTTTGAATTCAGAGTTGCCCTTCTCCAGAATTGGTTGCCCCATCGAAGCTAATGAAATACCAGTCTACCCTATGGATTTAACAGTAGCTGAAGAAAAGAAGAAACAGATTCATGCTTTTCTCAACGACACTATCGCGAAGAGAAAATATTGTCTTTGATCGGAATTGAAACTCGATCTGCAGATTCTCATTGGCTGAGCCGCTAACCGTTATGTGACGATATTGAGTCACCACCCCCACGAGGGTGTCATGTGGCACAAGGCCTTTTTAACGTGGGCATTCCCGAGCCATTAGGCTCGGCCAACTCTAGCCCATTTGAACCCGTATAAACGGGTTCAGGGCCGGTTTTACCTCCCCGAAGGAGACTCCGCCCTTCGGCGTAGCCTCCTTCGGGTTCCTCCCGCCCGTAGGAAGAGAGTTCAAACCGAGCAGTCTGTTCAAAAGTGACAACTAACCGTTATGTCACTCGCACATCCTCTCGCAAAGGGTAATGGTCCCAAGAGAGAGGGGCAACAATCCGTACTATATTTGTTTAGTGAGTACTGTTCAAATTCTCTGAACTAATCGTATCGATATCTGTCTGAATTTCTGAATTACTTATATTTGAACTATTGTCCTCGTTGTTATTGTTATTATCACAAAATTTCGGCCGTTGACCCTTCTGACCTTTTTCGGGTGTGTTTCGATCCGCGTAGCCTTCAGGGAAATTCAAACTGAAACCATTATTTAATATACGGCGGAAGATTGTTCTCGTCCTGCTGTCCATGTCTAGAGATGAATGCAGTCAAACTTGACAGCAGCAGCATTATCAGCAGTAGTCTGATTAGCTTTAAGGTTCAATCTTCGATATTCAGCATCGTCACATCGGACAAAAACCTAGTGGATGAAATCATCGGTACGTAAATTTGGTGAGGTGGTAGCACCTGTTAGGGTTTCAGCTACGGGCAAATAGTGAACATCCAGAAAACAAAATACTATGAAAGCATTTACTTATATTAATATACATCATTTTAAAAGCAATTATCTTGAAAACTACTAAGTCTAGCTCAATAAAACAGTTTAGATATTGAACGTCATAAGTTTATTATGCGATCGATTTCATAAGTGTTCAATATATGCACCGCCTGTGGCACGGCACACGTCAAGTCGGTAGTTAAGCTCTTGCAAACACGCTGATGTTGATGATGGTCTAACAGATCCTTTAGCCTTGTATAAGCAAGCCTTCCTCTTTAAATTTTTGGTACCAAGTTCAAATTTGTTTGCCAGTTGCTGAAGTTTTTCCAGATTTTGTATTGAAGGTAAGCTGCACGTTTTTGGGAGGGAACAACATGGTTCAACCTGAAAGCAGAACAAAAATAAAACATTGATCTGTTTCTATAGATTCTTTGAAAATTTGAGGTTACTTCAAAAAGAATTGCCAAAATGACTGACCTGGCAAATGTCAATTTTTTGAGGATACCCTGTATATTTATTGTTTATACGTTATTTTTATAGATACAAATATTTACAATAAACAGTATAAGCAACATTTACCGCCCTGAATGTGCTAGAAATTTCACAGAGTATAGTTTTTAGTCACTTTCTATGTGTGGTATCGTTTCAACTTCTTGACGAGACGAGACGACAATGGTGAGATTCGAGCTCGGTTTTCATATTCGAGAAATGAGAGGAAGACCTGACTATTTGTTTGGCTTCGAACCCCGGACTGTGGCATTGGGGACGAATACTTACGTATTTCATCGCTATAAATGCGCGCTTTTTATTTGTTTCTTGGTTTTATAGTTTTAAATTGGGGAGAATAAGCTTACTATTGATCATTATTTATAGAAATGAAATTAACTTGTTTCCTTAAAAAAGAAAAGTCTCCATTTTCGGAAATCAAGGAGAATTTAGAATCAGGGACGATCAATAGTTCCAGCGTTCGATGCGTGATTTCAGGTTTACAAACTTCCGGTTTAATTGTTTTGTTTCCTTGTGTGAATTGTTCCATTTTGGTCAGCAACGGTGAAAAAAAAAAGGAGCAAGAAAATGGATCAGGGAGAGAAAGCCATAAAAAGTAGGCTTTGAATTAGCCCAGTGACAAAAAATGGTTCGCGTTTGTGCCATTAAACGCACAAAAAAGAGAGACGCTGAAAAATACTGCCAAATAAGAGTGCTATGAAGTCTAAAGAAAACTGCAAAAAACTATTTTTTTTTATATATTTCGTTTTTTTTTTTTTTTTCTGAAAGATTTCGTGTCCTGTAGTCTTGGAGTGAGACCAAAATCTAATATATCCGCGTCCAAGAAAAAAATCAACATCAATAAAAAAAAAATGATTGGCCTTTTTTTTTTTCTTTTTTTTTTATTACTGTGGTGGGGGGAGTCTATTTGGTGAAAATAAATGGAAATAAAAAAGTAAACGAAAGAATATCAGAGTTTTCTTGAAAAGTATAAATGGTTGTATAAAATATTATCATTACTAGTAGTCGATATTTTCTTTGAACAGCAAAAATGAAAAAAAAAGAAAAAAGTCTGTAAGTTAGAATTGTCTCTCATTTTCGCCCTTGCAAAAAGGCATGAACCCGTTTCTTTTTCCCACATTTATAGGCCAAATATCTAGTTAGACTGGATGCCCTATCCTTGAGTGGCAAGCAGTCTTAAAAAAGGAAAATTTTGAAGAGAAACTTCAAGAGAAGGCAACATCACACCACTCACCTATCTTTCCCATGGGAGCATATCAATTCACAGAGACTAAGGTAAAGGAAGCTGTGTAGAGTCATGATTGTTTACATCATGAAGGGATATAGCATTTTATACATCCGTCTATCTGTCTGTCTGTTAGTCTGATAAGAAATAATTTTATATCATTATATGAAGAAATTACCGGTTATCTATTGAACTCATTTTCGCACTGGTAGACTTGGATAAGTTTTAATGTCTCAATTCTCTTGCCCCCCTTCAAGAAGATGATAAAGAGCGCGATCTAAGAGAAGGAACCATTAAATTCCAAATAACGGTGAAAACGACGGGAAATCAGTCCACTATCTTTCCCATGACTATTCATAGATCATGAAGAAAAGGAAACTATGGAGACCTGTGTTCACAAAGGATATCGTATTAAAAGAAATATTGACGCATAACAGATTTTTAGCTTTTTGATTTTATGTCTAATACGGAATGGAAACTCGTTTTTGTTTTGTTTTTTATGAATTTTGTGTCAAATTCCCTGTAAAGGACATATTCAGAGTTTTTATTAATTTTATGAGTATATTCAAATACGTCCAATACAATAAGAGGCTTTGAATCTTCCGGGAAGCTCGAAGAGTTGTAGATTTCTAACCGGCGATAGTGTTTGACTTCGAAGTTTAGTTAAAAGCAAACACTTCATTTGTTGCTTTAAATAACAAGCTCACTATAAAATTATTATTATTATTATTATTATTGGTTGTCTTCTTTTTCTTCTTCTTTTCTTCTTTTCTTCTTCTTTTTCTTCTTCTTTTCTTCTTCTTCTTTTCTTCTTTTTTCATCTTCGTGTTTTCTTCTTTTTATACTTCTTCATTTCTTCCTCTTTTCTTTATCTTCGTCTTTTCTCCTTCTCCTCCTCCTCCTCCTCCTCTTTCTCCATGTTTTCTTTTCTTCTTCTTCTTTTTCTTTTGTACTTCTTTTCTTCTTCTTTTCTTCTTCTTTTTCTACTTCTTTTTTTCTTCTTCTTTTTCGTCGTCGTCTTCAACCATTCTTCTTTGTTGTGGCCCTTTTCCACCATTCATTCCTTCAAGCCCACCATATAGGTTACTCTTTCCATTCTTCTACCTCTCTTGCCCTCAATATTCCCTGTGAGGATTGGATTTTCCAAGCTCTGTTTCATCATTATGGCTCCAAGAAATTTCATCTGTCTTTTCCGGACTCCAGTTATAAGTGTTATATTTGTTACCATTTTCTTTAAGACTTACTTCTTCTTAGAATTCAGTATCCTCCTGTAGAACCAAATATATGTTCTCTTCAGCTGTCTGTTTTTCTGCGGTGATATTAACCAGTATTCCCTGACATATAAAAAGAAGAATGTTGCATAGCAATTCGACATTCCAGCTTTTCTCTAAGGAATTTTTTTTTCTGCTTCCTAGCAATTTGCTAAGCTTTTGGAAGGCATCTTTTTCTAGTCCAATGCATGTTCGGATTTCGGTGTCGCAGCATTTTTCCATCCTCTGTTAAAACACTTCCGACATAGGTAAACGTCTGTCCTTTTATAACTCGCATCTTGGGCTTTTTCTCTTGTTAATGATCATACATTTTGTCTTTTTACAGTAGATAGTCCTTTTTTCTCGCTTTCTTTTATTGTCATTTATAGAAGATCCAGTAACTCTCTTCCCGTACTAACCAGTAAGATAGTGTCATGGTTTAGTTTGTTTTGTTTTACGGCATATCAACACCTCAATGGGTTATTTAATGCTGACAAAATTTTTATTGCCGGTAATATTTTGTTTTGTCAAAAATCTATTTCTGGCAATAATTCCCTCCCCCGCAAAATGCATTGCTGGTAATATTTTTTCTTTTTTAAAAACATTGTTGGTAATTTATTTTCTTTTTTCAAAAACATATTGTTGGTAATATTTTTTTTTCAAAAATGTATTGCTGCTAATAGTTTTTTATTTCTTCAAAGATTTATTGCTGATAATAATTTTTTACAAATATTCCTGGTATTAAAACCTATTTTTACACTTTCATAGTGTTTTTACCCCTTCGGGGTTAACTATTTGCCAATAGCTGGGATGCTAACAGGGGCTACCACCACGGGTCAGGGTGGACCTGGAAAAAACAGCAGTTAAGAGGTGGTTCCATGCTCCTCAAAGCCTCCTGATCAGAGGCCTTGCTACTGGATGTAGGTTATCGTCTTTCCCAGACGCGAATGTAGTTTATCGTCATACCAAGGACCACCCATTGGAGGGGTTACCCCTCTGCAGTCGACGTATTCTACAGCCCCAGCCGACAGGGCGGAGATAGTGTCTTCTGCGTATAAGATTACGCCAACCGATAATCAATCCTAGTAGAGTCCCTTAGAATAAGGTCGCCGTAGAGCAGTGTTTCTCAACCGAAGTTCCTCGGAACTCAAGTGTTTCCCAAGAACCGGTGAGATAAGCTAATGCGCTTTTGAATTTTTATTTAATTTCATATACGTAATATCACTAATCAACACTATATACTTGGTTATCGTAATATTGTAATGTAGACATCATCTTATCTAACCTATTATGTTAGGAAAAGTCACTGATGAAGTATTGTAAACGAACAGCGGGAATTTTATTTAGCATTACCAAAAAGTATTAATTTTTCCTTAAACCAGTTATTCAAAAATCATACTTATTATAAAACCCAGGTTGTGTGTGTGTCTGTACGTTTATATATTGGATCGGATTTCCTACATTTTTCAACCGATTTCAACAAAACTTCACAGGACTACGTAAAATTACCTTGCAGTGGTTCTGACAGTGTCAAAAATTGAAAAAAAAAAACAATTCTTTTTGCACGAAATCAATTTGAAAACACAATTAAGAGGCATCGCTGTCGCAAGAATGAAAGGGGACAACTCATATCGAGTTATACTTATTATAAAACCCAGGTTGTTTGTGTGTGTGTGTGTGTGTTCGTTTATATATGGGATCGGATTTCCTACATTTTTCAACCGATTTCAACAAAACTTCACTTTTTTTGGCAGGTAGTGTTTCTTATTGTCTTGCACACTTTTTTTTTTATTTTTACATTCAGAATGCTTTAAAAATTCCATTTACAAGACAATTGTTTATAATAAAATTATATTCAATAGGTAGACTCATAACGATTGAAAACAATGTTTTTGTTTGGGTTTGACCAATTCGTAAAAAAAAAAAAATAAATAAACTAATTAAGTTAGTCCGTCAACCTTAAACAATAATCTTTGTCAGTTTTATTTTTCTGTCTTTATGATGGTCGATACTTGATCTATCTCTTACTGTTACATCCCCGGGCAACGCCGGGCTCTACTGCTAGTACATACTATGATATTTACCACGGGAACTACGATGAAAATAAAATGAGAAAGATATGGTAGATAATTTTTTTTGTGTGCAGGTGTTCCTCGTGACATATAAGTTGTTTTAAGGGCTATGCAAGAGTAAAAAGGTTGAGAATCCCTGCTGTAGATGCAGATATATTCTGGGGAAAAGATACGCACCTGTCTCACGCCCCTTTCTATTTTTTTCTGTAGCTACTCAATTCATTTTCTATTCTAGTGTCCATTCAGGTCATGGGTGATCAAGGTTCTCCACAACTTCCTCTTTGTAGCTCTTAGTAAATTGTGTCCATTTGATGTCTATTCTAATCCCTGTTCTGTCAATCATGTACAGAAGCTCGTTAGACAGGGGTTATGATTTGCTTTCATCTTTCTCTTTTGCCTTCAATATGTCCTGTGAGTGTCACATTTTCCAAGCCCTCTTTCCTCATTATCTGCCCTAAAATTTTCAACTGTCTCTTTCTGATGTTAAATACAAATATCCATTTGTTCCAATTGTCTCTAAAAGTTCGTTGTTGCTTACATGTTCAGTCCTTGGTATTCTTGGAATCCTTCTGTAGAACTATATTTCTGTTGAAAATTCATTAATTTCTTGCACACTCTCGCACACAAACACACACACGCGCGCACACACGCATACACACACGCACACATATATGTATATATATATATATATATATATATATATATATGATTAGTACAAATATAAATTTATCAGGACTAAACTAAATAAAGACGATCCCTGACGATCCGCTAAGGTGAAAGCGTGGTAGGTTTGTCTGGCTCTCTAGGTTTAACTAGGTCTTCTCTACTCATTGTATTGAGCACTTTATTTAGATATTTTGGGTACACGCATCGGGTTTTTTTTCTTTGGGCTTTGGACTTGGATGCTAGACGATTATTTTCGGTTAACATACATGTTCTTGGTTCTTTCTTTTTTTATACCTTTTTTTCCCCTTTGGTATTGGTTTGATTATTTGCAAATCAACACACCGATGGTTTTCCGAACGAGTATAGTTTCTTATATTTATAAGATTTCTATGAATAAAGACAAAGGGAAAAATTATCTTAGCCGATGAGTTTTCTCTTCTGAAAACTTTCTTTCAAGCCAAATGTAAGGATTTTTTTTTTTGCAACACTTATTTTTAAAAAAAGTAAAAAAAAAAAATAGTTGTTAGGTTTTCGATGTTTTAAATTTAAGCTGAATCGTTTAAGTAAATTATGAATGATGCTAAGTGATGTAATTTAATGTCTAATAAATAAAACTGAGTAAATGACGTTTAATTTTTCTTAGATTCTTTAATTGACCTGATGAATCTTTATTCATTTAATTTACAGAACGACCAAGTATGGCGGACGGTTTAAGAAAAATAAGGACGACAAGGAAATTGAGACTTACAAACAGAAAGATACAGCTAAAAATTTTGGGACACATAATGAGAAAAGACGGATTGAAGAATTTAATACTCAAAGGACAATGAAAGCTGGAGAAGTATGGGAGAATCAGCGAGTAAATTATTTAACATGCTTGAATGAATGGTAGAACAGAGAAAGACCATGAACCTTCATTGACCAAAATCGTAGAGTTGATAGATTCCAATGCCAGCGTGACAGTGTTCGCGGGGATTGGGAAATTTTTTTAGCCCTGTCCCATCTGTATGTGTATGGACACCTCACCTTAACTATTAACGACACTATTTTTCTCATATGCACACACACACACACACACACACACACACACACACACACATATATATATATATATATTAAGAAATGGACAAGGTCCGACAATTTATTTTATTAAAGACATTTTTATGTTTAACGTTGTTATTTATAGATACAAGTATTTAAGCAAATGCTCTGTTTATGATTAACAGTATTAAATAACATTTAAACAGAGCATTTGTTAAATAACTTGTATTATAAATAACAACGTTAAAATATAAAATGTCTTTAATAATATATATATATATATATATAACTATTAATGTGGATAAATCAAATAATTAGATATTAGCAACCGTATATACGTGCGTTAGCGTACATACACAGGAAAATGAATAAATATTTATTCAAATTAATTTAAAGTGTAAACAAAAGAGTGCTCAATGTGGTTAGACAGAGCTAAGAAGTATATATTAATAAATATACATATACTTACGTTCGAAGCGCAATTTGTTCTACCAATTCAGCAGGCATGAATTTTTACTTTTGATTTAAAAAAAAAAAGTTATTTTTTATACAGTGTAACCCGGATATAAGAGACCCGGATATAAGAGAAACCCGGATATAAGAGAGATTTTCTCTGGACCCAAATTAGAGCCTGTGTTAATGTAAACAAAATAGACCAAACCCGGATATAAGAGAAACCCGGATATAAGAGACTTCGTCTCCGGTCCCGACAACTCTCTTATATCCGGGTTACCCTGTATATGCATATATATCTCATATGCACCCCCCAACACACACACACACACACACACACACATATACATATATACATATATATGCATATGAGAAAAAATATCTCTCCCTTGGCTGATCTTTCAGACCATGATGAAGTCCGTCAAAGGACGAATGTTATCGGGTAAGTTAAGTTTTCTTTTTTTCTTTATTCATATTGTCCTTTTAAAGATATACTCATCTAAGTTTTTTCACACAAACACTCCACACCCCTCATATTCATATATATAAATATATATATATATATATATATATATATATATATATATATATATATATATATATATATATATATGTCAAGTAAATACAATGTTCACCTCTTCTTTGTTTCTGTTTCGTTCTTTCTTTCTTTCACCCACAAGCGAAAAAAAATGGCTGTCAACAACTGCTTAACACGCCGAAATGCTCACAAATAAAACTTTTATTTAAGCGCGCCCAAGTCTATAATTGTCTGAAAGTGATAAAACTGGTGTTAATAAATAGAGTAGCGAATAATAATAATGATGATGGTGGTGGAAGAGAACAATAATAATGTGTCCACTGTTCATTAGCCTCCACAGAGTTCAATCCTTAATCAAATTATGGTGCCTGTGGATGACCTCAAATGACGAGGCTGTTGAAAAAAAGCAAGCGTTAAACAATAGTTTAGCAGGTCTAAAATGGCCGCTTCCCCTCGGTGCCGTATTATTCCCATTTACTCATGTCGGGACGAGATTAATTTCATTTCACACACTGGCCCATGCAATGTAGCGATGCTGACGTCCCTGTCGCTGACGGACATGGTCGAACAACGAACAGATTACACCAAGAAAAGGTTCTCATGTATTGACTCTTGTTTAAAATGCCCCTTTCCCCCAGAAGAGCGCTTTAAATAGCGATCCGGCTGCCGGCGCCATTGGAGGCTTTAACCATATTCCGCCTTTGGCAAGCCCAAACGGTTGGTGGTAATAATGACGTCATGACAAAAACGCTGGCTACTTAAAGATCGAGAGGGAGAAAAAGAACAAGCGAAAGAGGGTGGTCGGGTAAAAGCAGGAAGTGGAAAATTGGGAAGGTATGAGAGAATAAAAATGTAAAATGGTCAAGCAGTTAACCGGTATCATTCTCTAAAACGATTAAATTTTGATGAATTATTTCCTGTGTTCTTTTTCTTTTTTTTTTAATGTTCTTATCTA